ACCTTGATTCAAACTTCAAAAGAATATGAAGAATGCTGACTAGGCAAGAGCCCAGAGATATGAGCATAAGGACTAAATGAGTGAGCAACCTCTCTGAGGGAGAAAAACCCAGGGGTTGCATAAATACGTGCTATCATTTTTATTTGGAGCAGAGTTGAAGATAAGGACAAACCACCTCTTATGCTGATATAAATATGGTGATAAATTTAGGGGAAAAAAGGATACATATAAAATTATAAACTTAAAATAAATATTAATAATCATTGAATGCAAATTTTTTTATGCAGACACTTTTATTAATTTCCATATATTTTAAATATTGATAACAGTGATGTGACCACCTAGAAGAACCCAGTTAAATAATTTTTATGTATTATTTAGAATAAAGGCAGGTTGGAAGCTGCAGTTCTTACATCTTTTATTATGATTTGTGAAACTCGGAAGTCTAACCTTAAGTTGCACATTGGATTTTTTTCTACTGACTTTTAAAGGTTGTGGATTTTAAAGTCAGCAGCAGATGGCAGCAGTGCCAGCAGCATGGCCCTCAGGTTTCCTCATCAGGCATTTAGGTTAGACAGAGAAAGTTTTGTAACTTGCAGTATACTTCAGGGGGAGAAACTACCCTATCTGATGAGTCTGTACCTTAATTCTAAGGAAAAAATTAAACCAAAGTATAAAACTGTATTTTTTTCCTTAGAAAATATTATGTGGAAACATGTCTTACAAATGTTCTCTTAGCCATATCAGGGCTGAGGAAGTCTTGGCTTTAGAATGTAGCAAAGGCTGTGAGTGGATCTAATCCTCTGGAAACTCATTTTTTCATTAAAATGAGCAGTAAATTCAGTAAAATGAGCAGGAAATTCATTAGACCAAGAATTTTGTGTCAAGGACTTAACATAAATAAGATGTAATCAATACACTAACTTCTTGAATGTATTTCTGGGGTCCTGTGCTAGTCCATGATGTTAATTTTTACAAACTTGAGATGTCATGGACAGCCCAAGCTGTTCAGCAGTGATGATGTTACAAAATTCCAGACCTATGGAATGTGCAGGGCTCTCTTTTAGAAGTCCTGGGCTGTGCAGCTGAAAATAACGAAAAAAACTGACCAGGAATCCTGCTGATCTGCAACTGACACATGGGTTTTGGTTTTGGTTTTTTTTTTTAATGAAGCATTTCCATGCTAAGGGTTATTTTTGAGGGATAGCAAGAGGCTTTTGAAAATAATGGGAAAAGGTACCTTTTAAAAATAACCATTACAACATTAGCTGCTTCCTAATGCTCTCATAGTCATACACAGTTTGCAATTCACATGAAAAAACATTTTTAATAGTTCTCATGATGATACTTGACCTTACTCTGAGCAAGAAATAGTGTCTTATTTCACACATCAGCCATTCACTCTCTTCTGGCAAAGCCCCAGATAAAAGAGCATCCTGTTCTTGTAGAGAAGTCCTCAGACAATTCTTCAACATACTTCTATTCAAGTATCATCATGATATGATAATAGACTATTGGTGTCTGTGGAGATGTGACAGAACATTGCCATCAATCTCTAGGTCCAAAAAATCATTAATCCAAGACCAGGCTCTCAGCAGTTTCTTTGTGTTTATGTATGTGCTGCTTCTTTCACCTGTAATATTTTTCCCAGATCTACAAGCAATTAAATTATTTCACAAGTGGTTTTAATAAAAGTTGGTAGAATCATGCTGTTGAAGAATCCATAAGATCAAAGGATAATTTCTGCCAGAAGGGACCTTAGAAGGTTGTGCCTTGTGCATTTTGACAGCTCTGTCAAGCCTGAAGCATGAAACAGAACAGTAAGCATTGTGGAAAACTTTACCACATCCTGGTAATACAGACTTTCTAGCCTCAAAACTGGTTTTCTGTACTCAGTCATTGCTGTTGGATGTGATCTGACTCTTCCATGCTGTTCAAGAAAGGAGAAGAGAAGGCTTGAAAGCAAAGGGAAAAAAGTCTGTGTTTTCACTGAGTGATTCCACAGTAACATTGAACACACTGTAAGTGCAATTGCTTTTGAGTCTCTTCACAAATTCATTATATTTGTTTCTATTTTAATTTTTCTTGTGTTAAAAAGCTGGAAATAGTATAGACCCACTCCTCCAGTCCCAATTAATGTACCACAAACAACTGGGAATTCTGGTAACTGAAATGAGCTGGAGACAAAAACTTCAGGGGAAACACACAGCTATCTTTTTTGATCAGATTCACAAGTTTATCAGTTGCAAGCAAACACTCCTTCTTGCCAGGAGATGGTGCCACAACACCAGAAAATGTAGACGTGTTATTTGCAACAGGAAATACATATTTTAACACTGTTATGCAGAATTTTTAAACCTTAAACAGTTAAAAGGAGAAGAAAACCTAATCATAAATTATTGAGCCCCAAGAACGTTTCAATTTTGAATGTTTCTTAAATTTCTCTGGTTTGGGGAGTTTGCTTGCTTGCTTGCTGCTTTGTTTTCTGTATAGGAAACTACTCACATAAATAATTAAGTCCAGTACATAATCTATAGTTTGATTTCCTTGTCTTCATTTATTTCTTACCTTATTTTACTTCAGTAAATGGGGGGGCGGTTAAAATTTTTAAGTAATATATTGAAACTACAGATAGAGGGATGATCCAAATACTGATAGCTCTTAGGACCTGATAATGAAAAAACAGACAGATATTTTGGATTGATACATAATGCAGCATGCTTAATTTTAGGATTAATTTGAAAACACTCAGAGAAAACAGAACTGCTTTGGGAGTCTTAGGATCATTCAAGAACCTCCTCTCCTGTTGAATTCAATCCTGATTTTGTACCAAAGCAGAATGGCCCACATGAATGTACACATGCTCTACACTTTTCTTTGTGGTTTTCATTTTGGAATAAAAAACAACAAACACCCTGCTTACTGGCATTTTACAGAACTTGGGAAAAAAAAAATTAGCAAAAGCTATTGTCATCTACCAGTTTCTTAGACAAAGTCCTGACATAACAAGAAAAAAAAAAAGAAAAAAAGAAAGGAAAAAAAAAGTGACAAATTTAGCTAACATCAATTCTGTTACTTCCATAACTTAGCACCATTGTAAATATTTTCCAGGCAACTAACATCTGAAATTTTTGGATTTACTAGAGGTCTACTGATAAGAACTGAATGTTTTCTAGGGTAAACTATGAAAGGATCTTATGGATAGATCAAAGGACATTGCTGAAGCAGACCTAGATTGCACAAACCTGTTTAAGTTCAGGCACAAGAGCAGCCTGAAGCACTAGAGCACTGCAAGAATGCATTCTTGAATGTCCATGTAGGTAATCTGAGTGTCACTGGAGGTCAGGTTATTCACAGAGTCTGGCTACCTTTTTAGCAGGTGCCAGAGGGACCCTTTTAAGACAAATCCCAGGTTGTCTTGCACATGTTGGATGATACATAGAAAAACCCAAACTGGGTACAGTGCGATCTATTTCTACTGCTTATAAACTCAAAGATTAACCAAAAACATCCTTTCCCTACCAAAACTCTATTGGCTGACTCAACTGAAATCTTACACAGCATATTCCAGGCTTTATATTTCCTTCTGACATGCTGCCCATTGCTAGGAGCTACTGTCCAGTGTAACCTATAATGTCCTAGTGCCATCAGCATAAAGTTATTTACCATCTTAGCTGAATTCATTATGCATTTTATGCCATTTCCTACAAATACCTTGGTTTCTTCTTTCAGAATTTTTAACCAGTAACTCAAGTCAGAAACCTAAGGCATTGACAGACCTGAGGTATAAAATTCCAGACGTCTTGAAGATATCTATCCACAGACTTCTTTTAGATATAAAAAATTTCCTGTCACCTTAAGTGATAATCATGTTCATGATTATATTCTCTCAACTGACAAAAACTATATTTATGCGTAATAAGCCTTACTATTAAAAAAATGTTCATCAATAAAAGACTAATAATTGTCCATATTTTTAATGAAAAATTACTAGAAATACTTAAAGGCAGTATTAAAGTTTATTCATGTTTTTTACTGAGCTTACAAGGCCTCAGGCTTGAGGCTTGTCTGGTTTGTCTGCCTGGCTTGCTTTGACCTACTTTGTTTTAACTTACCAACCTATTTTTTTTTAACTTACCAAGGGTGAGTTTGTAGCTGCACAGAGGTGCTCTTAGGGGTAACAAGGAGAACAGAAAAATCTGAAATTTTGTGTCTAACATGCACAATGATCTCAGCGTATAGTAAATTTGAGTGTAGTGTGGAGGCACAGAACAATGAAGACAGAAAGGTGCAAACTGGTGCTAGCAAACACTTAGAAATGGGTCCATATTCTGCACTGGGTGGGTGATGTGACAGTAAGCCAGTGCAGGATCTCAATATGGCCTGAAAACAAATGGCTTAATAAACTGATTTCATAAGACATTAATGAGAGAAGTACAGACAAGAAATAAATCCTTTTGGATGCTTGGAAGTCTGTATTTGTGCAACATCGGATGAAACCTGGATGGATTTTCCCCACAGGGTGCTGCACAAAGCAAAGCAAATCTCATCCATGCAGAGATGCTTTCCCTCATGGTCTTCTAAGACGTTATATAATTTCTTTGTGAGAAAACAACTCTGTTCCTGAAGGACGCTCTTATGAGAACTTCCTTGCTGTCCTGTCAGATATAGGCGAGGCAAAGAAGGTGCCAGCGCCGGACCCAGTCTGCTTTAAATCACTATCTCCTCCAATACAAAGTCTACCACAAGGCTCCCAATATGCCTTATGTAGAGCCAAGCATGAGACACACCATTGTTGTGAACATCATATTCCTCCTGACAAAGTACTCCAGATGCTGTCAGCTACCACTACCAGAAGGAAACTTCCAGCCTCAGAAGCCAGAGAAGGGATAGGATGAGCATCACACCTGCAAAGGAGTAGAAACTAAGTGCAGGTTTAATTGTTTTATTACTATCACTGAGACTTTATTCTGTGTTCTAACTATTCTTCTTTATCAATTAGATCTGGGCTATGAAGGAGTCGCTGCCACAGTCAAAAGGGGGAAGATGAGTAAGTGTGTAGACTTCTGTAAAGTCTTTGACATGGTCCCACGCACATCCTTATCTCCAAATTGAAGAGATGGATTTGATGGGCGGACTATTGGGTGCATAAGGAATTGGTTGGATGGACACAGCCTTCATGTCCGCGTGGAGGCCAGTGATGAGTGGTGTCCCTCAGGGCTCTGTCTCAGGACCGGTGTTCTGTAATATCTTTAGCAATTATACAGACAGTCATTTCAACTGCACTCGCAACAAATTTGAGATGACTTGAAGCTGAGTGGTGCAGCTGACACAAAAGAAGGAAGGGAACCAAGGGAACCCAGACAAAGTTGAAAAGTGGACCCATAAGCACTTGATGAAGTTCAATAATCCAAGTGCAAGGTGCTGCACCTGGGTTGGGGCAATCAGTCATGAGTAAAGACTGGGAGAAGAACTCGCAGAGAGTAGCCCTGTGGAGAAGAACTTAGAGTTTCTCATAGATAGAAAGCTTGGTATGATCCAGCAGTGTGTACTTGCAGTCCAGAAAACCAACAGCATCCTGACCTGTATCCCAAGAAGCGTGGCCAGCAGGTTAAGGAAGATGATTCTGCTTCCCTACTCAGCCCTCCTGAGACCCCACCTTGAATACAGTTCTCAGCTCTAGGGTCCTCAGCACAAGGAAGATGTGTATCTGTTAGAATGAGTCCAGAGGAAGCCACAAAGATGATCAGAGGTCTGGAGCACCTTTCCTATGAAGACAAACTGAGAGTTGGGGTGGTTCAGTCTGGAGAAAAGAAAGCTCTAGTACTGAAAGTGGGCTTATAAAAAAGAGGAAGAGCAGTGTTTTACAAGGGCAACTAGTGGTAGGACAAGGAGGAATGGTTTTAAACTAAAAGAGTTCTTTACTCAGAGGGTGGTGAGGCACTGGCACATGTTGCCCAGAGAAGCTGTGGATGCCCCATCCCTGGAAGCGTTCAAGGCCAGGCTGGATTGGGCTTTAAGCAACCTGGTCTAGTGGAAGGTGTCCCTGCCCATGGCAGGGGGGTTGGAACTAAGTGATCTTTAAGGTCTCTTCTAACCCAAACCATTTTATTACACTATGACAATAATAATTAAACTTCTACAATTCTGATTACACTAGAAATAAATTCCTGGCTTTATATAAATATGAGATGTGCTTCCTCTTTGTCAATAGGCAATACTTTGAGTGCAACACTGTCTTCATCTGAATGAATCATGGATGAATACTTCTGAAGCTTGATTCGTGTGTGAGCAAGAATCTGAATTTCTCTTCTTTGCTCCAGACACTGAAGCTCTCTCAACTCCCCACAGCTGCAGTGGTGAAGATTCAGCTACTTTATAAACCTTGCAGACTGCCAGAGGCAACACTGTGATGCTCAACGTTCTCTATTTCAAATTTCGAATTTTCAAGTCTGGTAGTAAGAGTTTGAATAGGACTTCTCTTTCCATGACACAGTGTTTCTGTACTTCTCTCGGTGTCTACCGGTGATAGCCTATGCAATCACTGGAAAATGGGTGTCCACCAGTAATTTCTGGAGACAAAGCACTGTGTCAGTCATATTCAGTTATCAAATAAAGTATACAATATCATGGTCCCTTTTGAATTTGGATGAGCACTCCAAAACATCTGTAAGAGCTACATAACAAAGATTAATATTTCTAAAAAAGTTAAATCACTCTATTTCTAAGACTTTATCTTAAGAGGAAACAGACAAATCATATTTTCTCAGGGTCTTGGGAGCTAAGGTTCGTAATACTGCTGGATACACATAAGGTAAACTCAGAGTGGTGTTGCTTTTAGGCCATGCTGTTATTTTTCTGTCCTCTACTAAATTGTTACAGAAATTATGTCTCTCTCTTCCATCCATAACTACCTTATCTATGGATTTCTTTATCTTTCCTTCCCTGCCCCCTGCCCTTTTCCTCTGAGAATATACAACCTGCTCCACAATAATCAAACAAATTTTCTCTCAGAGGTGACCTTACCAATACCTGCCTACCTAAACAAATGTTTTCAATTTCTGTTTGGCTTTAAAATGTACTAGGCCTATCTTAAACCTGAAGAAGGACTTTAACACTCAAAGGTTTGCCTAATTTTTTCCAGCTAAACCAATTACTCTGATGAAACATATTATTTCACATTAAAACCAATTTTTACTTGGTAATAAATGTCAACAAAGCTATCTCAACTTATTTTATCTCTCTATGGAAACCAAGCCTTCATTAAAGAAGTTTACAAATTGTTCTGCTTTGGCTCATAAGCTGAAGGATTCTTAGTGTTTTGTTTGTGTGAAGAAGGCACATGGTATTTAGTGAGTCGTGATTCAGTCCTGAGATTTGAGGAGTTCATGACTCATTCACACCTGGTATTTTGATGTCTGAACAGTAAATCTCTTCCACTCCAAATTTATTCAGTCACATGCTGATTTTGATTTGGCTGCTAAGCCTATTTCTAGCACTACACCACTTCTAGTAAGTTGTCCCTCAAGTACACAAATGTATAACAAATTGCCTATTATGAAAATGTCTAGTATATAATATTAATCCTATTTTTTTTCTGACAGTTGTATTTCTTAGTTCATTCTTGCATCTTTTTTATGGATGAAAATAATCTCTGTAAATCTGGAATTTTTTGCATCTCAAGGACAACAAAAACAATGAACACAAACAGGTCTGTTACTGTAAAACAATAACTTTTTATTAACTTTCATCCCTTCATGCCATCTGTACCAACATCCCAAAACTAGATTGATAGCAGAGGAACTGATGGTACAAGTATAGGGTAATACCATTTGTTCTTGGGGAACAGCAAAAATCACAACTCCATAGTATTGCTTGCTAAAGCAATTCAACCCCAAGAGCTGGGCAGAACCTTACTCAGGCACAGCAGAGACAACATGGATCATGTACTAATTACATGTAAAACACCCCATAAAGCGTGAAAGCACAGTGGTAATAACAATAAGGTATAAAAGACAATCACAGCCCCTGCAGGATCAGAGGCTTAAGCAGAAGAGGGAGAGCAGGATCGCTCCAGCTCCTCTTCCCTGGGTAAGGGTGCTGCATCTGGGCACTGCCATTGCGTAAATGAGCAGGTCATTTTGCTACTGCAACTCAGTTCTCTCTAATGTGTTTTCTTTTGCTGTGTAACTAGGTTAAGTATGTTCAGAATTTTAAGCAGGTTTGTGGGGGTGTGTAGAGGTGTTTGTGTTTTCTCCTTCACCCTCCCTATATAATAAGGTGATTGGTACTGCAGCCCAGAGTCAATAAACATGGATGTAATAGTTCATAGGATCATGGAATATACTGAATTGGAAGGTATCCACAAGGATCACTGAAGTCCAGCTCCTGACACGTGCATAGGACACCCCCAAGAGTGACATAATATGCCCAAAAGCATTGTTTGAACACTTCTTGAACTTTGTCAGGCTTGGTGCTGTGACCACCTCCCTGGGGAGCCTGTTCCAGTGCCCAACCACCCTCTGAGTGAAGAGCTTTTTTCTAATATCCAACCTAAACCTCCCCTGACACAACTTCAGGCCATTCCCTCCGGTCCTGTCACTGGTCACCACAGAGAAGACATCACTGTCTGCCTCTCCTCTTCCCATCTCGAGGAAGCTGCAGACCATGACGAGGTCACCCTTCAGTCTCCTCTTCTCCAGACTGAACAGACCAAGTGCCCTCAGACACTCCTTGTACGGCACCAGCAGTGTGGGATAATCACCCTCCTTGACCCTCTGGCGATGCTGCGCTTGATGCACCCCAGGACTCATCTTTCTGTCTTTTTCACTACAGGTGTGCAAACAGCAACAGCTTCATGGATAATTAGTTTCTCCACTGGCAGCAGCAAATTGCCTGCATTCCTGTCTCTCTACCTTTGTACCTATATATCTGTATGCTATATGTTGTATACAGTACACAGCACTTACCAAGCACTTCATGAGTCACTCATGCTTTCAAGCTATTGTTTTTCTTCTAAAAGAACAAGTTTCATATTTTGTTAATTCACTTTTAAACCTTCTCAGTGACTTTATGAAAGTTTTTCTATGAGCTATAACTTTCTTCTTTTAACACAATGAAACTCAAAAGTTTTTTTCATCAAAAATACATTACGGAATTTCTAGTAACATTCAATCTCATACAGGCTTTTGAGGCGTTTGGAGACACAGACCTTAGCAACTGAAGAAAATTGAACTAAATATTACATGAAGTTATACTAAGTTTGAAAATGCATCTACTGCTGGTCATTAACCAGCTCCATAAATATATGATTTTTTGCTTCATGTTGCAGATGTAAAAATCTTAAGACCCGACTATTAACTTCCCTTTTTGCCATTTCAAACCATACCAGCTATCAATTTACATAGATTTTTATTACCTTATAAGTTTTGATAAAGGGTTAAACCCTTTATATGTTTGAATTCTTCAGGCTGTACCATTCAAAGTGAATGAAGGTCTTAATTCACACTAGTGACATTTTTCTGCAAGAGCTCTGTTTGCTGGGCCACAGTTCATACTCACAGAAAACAGTTCTCTGATTTTGTTGAAAACTGGAAAAGTGGAGAGTGAAATGTGGGACCAACAAAGCTATGGCAATTGATAAGTCAATTTGTCAACTAATGGGATTATAATTGCCTACAGATCAAAGAACTGGAGCAATATCATAGCTTTTAACCCTGCCAAACACCTCAGTTAAGATTTACTTTTCTCCCAGAAGGAAAGAACAGAAGCAATTTAGCAAATTACAAGCTGTAAATGGCTTAACTGTTCTAAGACATAAAGTGGGATGAGAAGGTGGTACACTGAGAAATCATGTGGGGAATAAAAGGATACAAGGAACTCCTGGTGTGTTTAATGAGCTCAGCCTACAGAAGCAATAATATACATAACCCTCCAATAGTTTTGTGTTCATACATCTCTCCTTCTAGTCTGAAATATATTCTTAATTATTTTTTTAAATGAGACAATGTAATTTAATGATTCATATTTCAGACATAGCAACCTTTTCTACACACATTTTTTTCCTGGAAACTGTAATTATGAGATCCTTTACTTTTGCAGACTCTTTTTATACATGTACTGCCATGTGTGCACTAGATGGCACTCAATGCTTAATGCTCAATTCTGTACCCTGTCCAGAAAAGAGTTTACAGGGGCCAGAGAAACAATTGCTGAGTTTCCTGTTACCTTGAACTGATAGAATTGCTGAAGACAGAAATAGAAATTTATAACTTCGCAACTGTATCTGTAGTAGAATTAAATATTGAAATGGTCTTAATATGCAATGAAATATCAATAAGAAAAATTTTAAATCTCCTAAAATTACATTGAAATTCATGGGGCCCAGAACTCTCACTGAAATTCAGCAAAAAAAGTCATAAATAGAGCCTCTACCAGATGGGAAAAATGGAAAAACAAAGGAATTATGAAGAAAATATTTTCATAGAATGTTTCATTTTTAACAGTTTAACAGGAAAGGGAAGGGCTGAAATCCAAACTAGACTTCAGTGCACAGGTCCCCAGACTGTGATGTTCTTTCATACCAATACTTTTAGTATTCTGTGAAAGTATTATTAACTTTCTAAATCACAATTTTCTCAAGTAGAGAGCTACAACAAAGATACTTTTTTTTTTAAATCTTTATAGAGTTTTAAGATCTGTGAAAAAAATAGGTTCATTTTTAGATGTATTAATTTCAGTATAAAATTCTACCTTATTTTGATTACAATCAGGCTGGCCAGGACAAAGTAGGAACACACAGAGCCAACAGGAGAATTTCTCATGCTCCTTTTTGGCATTTCTGTTTGGATTATATGTTTCTCCTTTCATACACAATCGTGTTCTTTTCCAAGAAGGGTAAGCCTGGGGATGCAGCCAATTCCAGTTCCTATTATCTCCCAAACTGTGATAGTCAAACAAGGAGTAAATCTCTATGATATTTTTCAAGAATAATGAAAAGCCACATAAGAGCAGTAAAATTATCCGCCTAAAATACCAAGCAGCTGTGGCACTGGCAAGGTTGTAGAAGCTGGTATCACATCAGAGAACTGTTCTTGGCTCTTCTGCCTGTCCTTCAGAAAACCACTGTGTCCCTGGCACCCAGAGTTTCCAGTGCTCTCTTTAATCACCATCAATCATCAAAGTCCCTACATTCTGTGTGCCTGCTAAGGCTCCAATTAGTCAAGTTAGAGATAACTTTTATAACTAAGTGACAGACACAATGAAGTTTGAAACTTTTCACAGTATACTCTGAGTTGGGATCAGAAACCAAGTAGACTGGGGTGCATATGTGTGAAAATATTGAAAAACATTCTGAAAAGAAATGTAAAAACTATAACACAAGCTACCATTTCCTTTTTAAAACT